ATGGATGTGTGGGTGGGTGGGTGTATGGATGAATGGATGGATGGGTGGGTGTGTGGGTAGATGGGTGGGTGTGTAGATGGATGGATGGGTGGGTGAGTGAGTGAATGAGTGGGTATGTGGGTGAGTGGATGGGTGGGTGGATGGATGGATGGGGTGTGTGTGGATGGATGTGTGGGTGGGTGGGGGTATGGATGAATGGATGGATGGGTGGGTGTGTGGGTAGATGGGTGGGTATGTAGATGGATGGATGGGTGGGTGAGTGAGTGAATGAGTGGGTAGGTGGGTGAGTGGATGGGTGGGTGGATGGATGGATGGATGGATGGGGTATGTGTGGATGGATGGGTGAACAGACAGGCAGATGGTTGTTTCTATTGGAGGTGTAGATGGCACGCGTCCTTGGTGTCCAGCTCTTTACTGTTGGGCTGGGGAATGGAGGTCCAGAGAAGGAGGGGCTGTCTGAGGCCAACCAGGGACTGATGGACTCAGACGAGTCTGCTCTTTTGCCTCCCTGCCTGGGGTTCCAGTTTAGAAAGTAGGGCAGAGCAACTGTAACTTTGCCCCCAAGGTCCTGACATTTAGAAGGGGCAAGAAGTTTAGGGGGGTGCACAGTTTCTTGGCACGTGCCTCTTCCATCTCCTTCTACAGCCATCTTGGGCACACAGACACACCACCCATACGGGCCAACCTGGTGGGCACCCGCCAAGATGGATAGCTTCAGTGGCTCCAGATTAACGCAAAGCTCCTGCTGACTGGGGCCTCTTCCTCCCCACAGTTAATATTCTCCACCTCTTCTGAGAAGAGGAGCTGCAGGGCTCATGTTGTGTTTCAAGCTGCCTGTGAGGGGCCACCACAGGGGATACAATGCTAGGCAGGATGACTCTGTCAAGCCCCTGCCCCCAAGGAGCGAAGGACTCAGGGATCCCACCTTGCTCTTACCAACAGACCCCTTTCATAAGTCCTGGATGGCCCCTGAAGCCCTCAACTTCTCCTTCAGCCAGAAGTCAGACATCTGGTCCCTGGGCTGCATCATTCTGGACATGACCAGCTGCTCCTTCATGGATGTGAGCCGTCCTCCCTCTCCCATACCCCACATGCTGCTCCCCATGCACCCAGGCCTGGGGAGAAGGCTTGGCCTCACCCTGCCTCCCCTCCGCATCCCTTCCCCTGGCTCCCTGCAGGCTGCACAGAGCCCCCTCCTCCACCTGTGGGGGGCCTGCCCTCCTCAGAAACCCCCAGCATGTGCAGCACCTGCTGGGCTCTAGCAGGATGACAGCAGTGGTAATATTCAGACCATCCCACGCGACCCTCGCAGCAGCCCTCCAGGTAGTGTCACTGAGTCTTAATGGAAAAAAGCCAAGTTCAGGTGCCCTTGTGAGCATGAAGGCTGCACGGAGTTGTAAGCAACGGAAACCCAGCGTGGGCCTGAACACACCTGGCTGCCTCATGCACAAGCCCCAGGCTGGTGTGGAGGCGCCTTCTCTCCTCCTGCACATCCTTAGCACGTAGCTCTTTCTCTCATCCCTGCTGGGGCCCCTGCACCATGGCCACAGCCTGTGGGCAGGAAGGAGGGGAGGCAGAGGGCCCCACTGGCCCCGTGAGCTCTCCGAGGTCACTCTGGCTGCAGGGAGGCAGGGAAGTCCAGCCTGTTGCTTCCTACCCTCTATATGCAGAAGAGAAAGTGGGGAAGGCCTGCCATGCCCCCAACAAGGAAGTTCCCCTTCTCCGCAGCACCACCTGCAGGCACCGAGGTCCCCAGAAAGGACAGACACCTGACTGGGCCCAGGTTCCTCACGCTCTCCCAGACCCCCAGACTCCACCTCTGAGAAGCACCTTGCCACTCCCTTCCTCTGGAAGACTCCCAGGGAAATGAGAGCCTTCCCACTATGGAGGCTGTGTGACATCCTGGAGCGTGACCCTGGACACGCTCACACTCTGTGAAATGGGCATGCTGTCTTACTGGCTGGGTCTAGATCAGGGGGCTTCTTGGCAGGACTCTACCCTGGGAGACAACCCGCTGGCTTCTCCGAAACTCCATTTCTTCTTATGGAAGAGCTCGGGGCCCCTGGGGTCTCTGGGCATTCTTGTAGGCAGTGGCCACACCTGGATCTCCCTGGTCTCCTCCTGGATTTCTTGGTCCCTGGTCGCCCTCTGCCCATGCTGGGGCCTAGTTTCCATTTACTTAAGGTAATGCACAGAGCTGTCCTCTCTCCGTGCAGAGCACAGAAGCCATGTATCTGCGGAAGTCCCTCCGCCAGAGCCCGGGCAGCCTGGAGACCGTCCTGAAGACAATGGAGGAGAAGCAGATCCCGGATGCAGAAACCTTCGGGAATCTTCTGCCCGGGATGCTCCAGATCGACCCCTCGGATCGAATAACGATAAAGTGAGCTCAGGGTCGGGGTTTATTTTAACCTATGGATTTATCTTTCAACATCTCTCCACCCTAATACAGACACAACTAGTTGGCTTTGTAACACCTCAAAGAACTCCATCACAGACGCCCTGATTATTCCTGCACTGCTGGGCTTTTCCCAGTTCTGGCGCTCCCAAACCGTGCTGCGGCGAGTGATCCCAAATGCACCTCTCTGAGCACTGGAGGGAGCAGACGGACTCCCAGAAGGCACAGGAGGCACAGCCTCCAGGACCCACGACACTTTTAGGGTTCCAGAAAAAAATTTTCATTCTACGTTAAAAAAAAAAATTCCTAAAGACAGTGGTCACCTTTAAAATTTTCATTCTAACTTATTTTAAAATCAGAAGACAAAAGTAAATACATAACACTGGCCGGGTGCAGTGGTTCATGCCTATAATCCCAGCACTTTGGGAGGCCGAGGCGGGCAGATCAATTGAGCTCAGGAGTTCGAGTGTAGCCGGGGTAACATGGCGAAATCCCTGTCTCTACTAAAAATACAAAAAAATTAGCTGGGTATAGTGGTGCATGCCTGTGTTCCCAGCTACTGGGGAGGCTGAGGCAGGAGGATCGCTGGAGCCTGGGAGGCAGAGGTTGCAGTGAGCCAAGATCGCGCCACTGCACTCCAGCCTGGGCGACAGAGCGAGACTCCATCTCAAAAATAAAAAAGAATCCAGGCCAGGCACAGTGGCTCACGTCTGTAATCCCAGCACTTTGGGAGGCCGAGGTGGGTGGATCACTTGAGGTCAGGTGTTCGAGACCAGCCTGGCCAACAGAATGAAACCCCGTCTCTACTAAAAATAGAAAAAAAATTAGCCGTGCGCGGTGGCGGGCGCCTGTAGTCCCAGCTGCTCGGGAGGCTGAGGCAGGAGAATTGCTTGAACCCGGGAGGCGGAGGTTGAAATGAGCCGAGATCGTGCCACGGCACTCCAGCCTGAGTGACCAGAGTGAAACTCCATCTCAAAAAACAAACAAACAAAAAAAACGAACAAAAACCAAAAAAACCCCAACACTATAGCAAGGAATCCAGCCTGGGTCATATCCATCTTTATGCCAATGCAGTTGTAAAATCTGGGTTTTCATGTTTCCATGGAGGCAGGGGACCACAAGGGTAAAAGTGCCAGGGCCCGGGACTGTCCCCCAGCTCTATGAGCTGAGGCCGTGCCTCCGTGGAGTACTTCCCTGGGTGTGGAATTACTGGGGTGCTTGCCGGACACACTGGGAACACTATGAGAGACCCTGCCAAATGGATCCCAAAATAGTGAGGTCAGTGTCCGGCGTCCGCACCGATGGGCAGCCCGGAGCCGGAGGCAGAGGGAGAGCCCCACGGGGAGGCGGCAGGGGGCGCTGCTGGGTTACTCAGCCCTCTCTGCTCCTCTGCTAGGGACGTGGTGCACATCACCTTCTTGAGCGGCTCCTTCAAGTCGTCATGCATCTCTCTGACCCTGTACCGGGAGACGGTGCCTGCGTCCATCACCGACATGCTGTTAGAAGGCAACGTGGCCAGCATTTTAGGTGATGTGATGCTGGGGACACACAGCTCCTGTCCATGGCCTTGGCATCCTGTTGTTTAGTTCCAGAGGGTTCATTATTTATGCCCCTGGCCTTGCTCCACACGCACAACCAGTGGGTAGGAACAGTTTCCCTCCATCCATCCCTACACACTGTCCAGGACACCGCTCTGCTCAAATACCCTCCATAGCTCCCAACTACCTATAACACAAAGTTCCTCTCCAAAGCCTGGCCCCCACCTGTTTTCCCTCCACTCCTGCTACACAAATCCTCCATGTAGCTCAGTGGCCTAGTCACTGCCCGCGCCTCCCACAACCCTCTGCTTTTGCTTCCACAGCCTGGGTGGCACACAGTGGTCCCGGGGCGTCTTCCTCACACAGCACCACTTCCTGTGTGCCTCCTATGTGCCCGGGATGAGCGGAAGTGCGCTCCACTATTTGTGTGCTCCAAGACAGAGACTTGGGTTCTATCAAGGAAAAGTCGCTTGGTCTCAGTGGCCTCATCTGTAAAGTGGGGATGGTAACAGCCCCTCCCTCTCATCCTGAACCTGTAGATCCGAGGAGGGGATGCACACACAGCAGCCAGGCCAGTGTGGTGCCCAGAGACAGGGCCCTGAGGCCCTGGTCCTCAGAAAGGTCCCTCCCCTGCCTTCCTGTCCCTGCAGAGGTCATGCAGAACTTCTCTGGCTGGCCCGAAGTCCAGTTCAGGGCCATGAGGAGGCTTCTGAAAATGCCTGCAGATCAGCTAGGTAGGCCTCACCCTGCACCTCTTTCCCAGCTGCTCCCCTAGGGGCAGAAGCTATGGTCCAGCCCGCGGGGAGCTGGGGCTGGCCCTCACCCTGGGCTCTCCTTGCCAGTGCTTTAGTGCAGCGTGGAGGTGTGCATGTGTCCCCAGAAGTGTCCCGTGTCTCTGCTATCCGCCTGGGGAAGGCAGCAGAGAAGGGGAATGGGTAGCGTGGCAGCCCTCACATGATTTTAATGGAGCCATAGACATCCCATGTACCCCACTGTCTCTACGAGGGGTATGTGAGTTGTTTCTCAGTGTCCACTATCATGAATGATACTGGAACAGACACCCTGGTGTATATGTATCTGTGCGCTTATGTTTCTGTAGCACAGATTCGTAGATGTTCAAGGGTGTGAATACTTTAAATTTTCATAGATACAGCAACTTGCCCACCTATTAAGAATGCATGGCCTGGCACAGTGGCTCACGCCTGTAATCCCAGCACCTTGAGGAGCCAAGGCGGGAGGACTGCTTGAGCCCAGGGGTTCGAGGCCAGCCTGGGCAACAAAGGGAGAGCCTGTTTCTACAGAAAATAAAAAAAATTAGCCAGGTGTGGTGACACAGGTCTGTTGTCCCAGCTGCTCTGGAGGCTAAGGCAGGAGGATTGCTGGAGCCCAGGGAATCGAGGCTATAGTGAGATACGCTTGTGCCGCCGCACTCCAGCCTAGAAGACCCTGTCTCAGAAAACAAAACCAAATTCAAAAAGGTTGTTACTGCTCATTCATGGAGAGTGTTGGGAAAAACAGTGGTTTTTTGTTTTTTGTTGTTTGTTTTTTTTTTTTGAGACAGGGTCTTGCTCTATCGCCCAGGCTGGAGTGCAGTAGTGTGATCTTGGCTCACTGCAACCTCCGCCTCCTGGGTTCAAGTGATTCTCCTGCCTCAGCCTCCCAAGTAGCTGGGACTACAGGTGCATACCACCACACCCGGCTAATTTTTTGTATTTTTAGTAGAGAGGTGGTTTCACTATGTTGGCCAGGCTGGTCTCAAAGTGCCTGATCTCAAGTGATCTGCCTGTCTCGGCCTTCCAAAGTGCTGGGATTACAGGCATGAGACACCGTGCCTGGCCAATTTTTAAAACATTTGTGTCAAAACATACTTTCATAAAATCGTTCAACCTTTTTCACCTGCCTGAACATTACCTTCACATCCATCCATCCATCCATCCATCCACCATCCATCCATCCATCCATCCACCCACCCACCCATCCATCCATCCATTTATCCATCCGTCCATCCATCCATCCATCCATCCATCCATCCATCCATCCATCCATCCACCCATCCATCCATCCATCCATCCATCCATCCATCCATCCATCCATCCATCCCATCCGTCCATCCATCCATCCATCCATCCACCCACCATCCATCCACTATCCATCCATCCACCCATCCACCCATCCACCCATCCATCCATCCATCCACCCACCATCCGTCCATCCATCCATCAGCCCTGGATTAGGAATCCACTGAGGTTTGTTGCAGTGGCTCAGGCCTCAGAGATGACAAGGCCCAGCCCTGACCTTCGAGTAGGTGGCAGAGGCCTCATATGGGCCTAATTTACCATTCCCTCCCTCCCCTCCTCCTCTTTGACCCCTTTTGTAGCTCAGCTGTGACCAGGACAGAGTCCCTGGGAAGACAGATTTTGCCTCCCTGGGGAAACTAGGGAAGCTTTTGGGCCCCATCCCAGAGGGTCGGTCTTTCCCAGCACCTGGAACCACACCTCCCTCCACATCTTGCTTAGAAATGGGCTTGCAGCTGAGCACAGTGGCTCATGCCTGAAATCCCAGCACTTTCGGAGGCTGAGGTGGGCGGATCACTTGAGATCACGAGTTCAAGACCAGCCTGGCCAACATGGTGAAACCCTGTCTCAACTAAAAATACAAAAATTAGCCAGATGTGGTGGCGCATGCATGTAATCTCAGCTACTCAGGAGGCTGAGGCAGGAGAATCGCTTGAACCCAGGAGGGGGAGGTTGTGGTGAGCCGAGATGATGCCACAGAGCCTGGGTGACAGAGTGAGACTCTGTCTCAAAAAAAAAAAAAAAAAAAAAGGTGGGGTGGGGCACTTGCTTTGCTCTGCACTCCGGGTGCCAGGACTTCATCCTTGTTGCTCTCATGAGCCTACAGTGGAGGGATGGCTGCCTGGCCACTGCCCCTCACCCAGTCCCCAGCCCACAACAGTTCCTGGCACAGTGGCAGGGTAGATGGAGCCCACCCATGCCCACCCTCGAGGCAGTTGCAGCCAAGGGCTCTGGAGTAGACTGGCTGGTTTTAAACTGCTATAGAGCAGGTGCTTTCATCACACTGACCCCAGGTTCCTCATCTGCACAAGGAGGGCAGTCCCGGGAGGGGCTACTTCACAGGACTGTGGGCAGCACAGAACATGTACCCGTGGCAGACATGGCATGCACTCCACGGACCTAGCACTAATCCTCATTGTCCTTCCCCCTTCTGTTCATCCACCTAGGGCCCTGCCGGCTCCCACCAGCCCCCGGGGGCCCTGGTTTGCTCTATACGCCCCCGACCTGGCCCAAAATGAGTCTCCCCTGTGCCGCCCACCCTCCCAGGTCTGCCGTGGTGCCCGGAGCTGGTGGAGGTGGTGGTCACGACCATGCAGCTGCATGACAGGGTCCTTGACATCCAGCTGTGTGCCTGCTCCCTGCTGCTGCACCTCCTGGGCCAAGGTGGGTGCCAAACCAGGCCAGGTGGGGTCGGGGAGGCTGTGCGCTGCTTCCTGCAGCTGTGCCTCCTGCGCCAAGGTGGGCACTGGGCCGGGTAGGTTGGGGGAATCTATGCCCTGCTCCCTGCTGCTGCACCTTCTAGGCCAAGGTGGATGCCAGGGCCAGGCCAGATGGGGGAGACACTCTTGGTGGCCTAGCTCCGTCCCCACCTGTTACCTGGTTGGCATCTGACCCTCTGGACAGTCCATACCATCCTGTGCCCATTGGACCCCATCCTGGATGGCAGAGGGCATAGGCCAGGAGCCTAGAGATGTGGATCCCACCCACGCCTGGTGGTGGGTGGATCACGACATCAGGAGTTCAAGACCAGCCTGATTGACATGGCGAAACACGTCTCTACCAAAGATACAAAAATTAGCCAGGTGTTGTGGTGGGTGCCTGTAGTCCCAGCCACTCAGGAGGCTGAGGCCACTTTTGCCTACTCTGTGGCCCTGGACAAGTTCCTGCTGCTCCCGCCAGTTTCCCAGCTATGAAGCGAGGAGCGGGACACGAGGTCCTCTGGAGTGGCCCTCAGGGAGGATGGGATGCATCCTCTGAAGGGGGCTGGTAGGACAGTGCTGAGTTGGTTTCACTGCCCTGATGGAAGAGGCTGGAGCTGACAGTCTGAGCCTCCTATGAGACCTGGGTTGTTAAAAAAGTTGAATTAGCTTTCATGATTTTTTTTTAAACAAAAAGTATTTAGTTACCTTTCTAGTTTTTTTTGTTGTTGTTTTGAGATGGAGTTTTGCTTGTCACCCAGGCCGGAGTGCAGTGGCACGATCTCGGTTCACTGCAACCTCCACCTCCTGGGTTCAAGCAATTTTCCTGCCTCAGCCTCCTGAGTGGCTGGGACTACAGGCACCCACCACAACACCTGGCTAATTTTTGTATTTTTAGTAGAGACGTGTTTCGCCATGTCAGTCAGGCTGGTCTTGAACTCCTGATGTCGTGATCCACCCACCTCAGCCTCCCAAAGTGCTGGGATTACAGGCATGAGCCACCGTGCCCGCCCACCTTTCCAGTTTCACTGTTGAAGTTTGGAGTTCCATACAACGTTGAAATTGTGTTCACTGCTGCCTGGCCGGCTCCCACAGACCAGGATGGGTGGCCTGGCCAGGCAGGGCTCCCCTCCAGCCCTTCACTCCATTAGGGCACACGGATTCACGGAGGCCTGCTCTAGGCCAGGAGAACAAGGCAGACCTCGCTTTCCTTCATGCAAAGTAGAGATGCTATCCCCCAGCCTGTGAGCCTCGTGTGTCTCGTCCCACGCCCCAGCTGTGGGGCTAACCCCAGGCGTCTTCCTCTGGCCCGAGCAGCAATGGTGCACCACCCGGAAGCCAAGGCTCTCTGTAACCAAGCCATCACCTCCGCCGTGCTGAGTGCTCTTTGGAGCTACCCTGAGGAGGAGTCGCTCCTTGTCTTGGTCTACAGCCTGCTCACCATCACCACAACCCAGGGTGTGTCTGCCAGCCACCTCGTGCCCCACCCACACTCCAGGACAGCCCTTCCCAGGGGTCTCGGGAAGGGTTGGTTTGGGGTACAGGTGGGTTGGACAGGACAGTGCTGGGCCTCCTCCTGAGATGCACAGTGGCATTTGGCCATCTTCATTCGGTCACCCCAAATGCTGGTCGCATCCTTTTCCATCTTGATGACAAGCTTCCACTCTTGAAGTCACTGGTTCTCTCTACAGACATGCCAGGCGCAGCTGTGGGCTTCACACCAATGACATCTATTTGCCACACTTCCTGCCCCTTCTGGGAGGCTGGAGGGCAAATGCCCTGTCTCCATTCCATAGGGCCCAGTAGGCTTCCGAAGCCACCAGCCAGGACTGTGGGAAGGAGAGGGCCACAGAGAGCATTCACAGCCTCACCCACAAATCGGGTGGGCACTGTTCTCCCCAACAGGAAGCCGGGCCTTGAGAGAGCCTAAGGACAGCCGCCAGGAATCCCATGCAGCGGGGGTCAGGGCTGGGTCCCAGTACCCTCTTTACTGCATAGACTGGATAGCTGATCATACACAACTGATCTCACTTTTGGGAGTGAAAGGAGGCACTAGGAATAGATGTCAAATGGAACCATTAGGCAAAATGGATGTCAGTTCATCCTACCAGGATAGGGCCCCGTCACGGTTCCATCCTGGAAGGCACAGTCCGGCTCTGTGGGCCCAGGAGGCAGGGCCAGGCCCCCTGGATGGGACGCTACAGAGGTCAGACCCAGCCTGGCAGTAGGATGGCAGCTATTGGGACTGGTAGCCCACGAGATGGACAGACTCCTCTGGGGCCAGTCCCATGTCCTCCTGTTCAGGGCTCCGTTGAGTGCACATGACTTGGCCCAGAACAGGCACCCCCCAGATCGCAGGTCAAATGGGACTGCAGTGCCCAAGGACAACAAAGGCGGGAAGGCTTCCTGGAGGGAGGGGCCCTGGGGCCCTCATTCTGGCCCACCCACAGAGTCACAGTCAGAGTCAGAGTCAGTGTCAGAGGAGCTGCAGAACGCCGGGCTGCTGGAGCACATCCTGGAGCACCTCAACAGCTCCCTCGAAAGCAGGGACGTCTGCGTCAGTGGCCTGGGCCTGCTCTGGGCCCTCCTGCTGGATGGTGAGGGGCCCTCCTCCTGCTGTCCCACTGGGGCTGGGAGCCCTCCCCCAGTCGCTCCCCAACTACCCCTGAGAGCCTTTGAGGACCTCCATGTCCTGTCCCCGAAGCACGACAGCCATGGTCTGGGAAAGGCTCTTCTGAGAGCCTGCAACAGAAGAAAATCAAGGAGCAGAGAGAGAGAAGGTGGGGGAGGAAAGGCCTTCTGGCAGAGGCCAGGCTTCAGGACTTCTTGCCCAATGGGCAGACCCCTCAGTTTTAAGTGTCTCCTGCCCCAGGGAAACGTCCTGGAATTTTCCAGGCAGTCCTGGTTCCAGGGGACAGCGTACCATCTTGGCACTCCAGTGCCCCAGGAAAAAGAGGGCTCCAAACCATGGAAAGCCCAGGAAACCCAACAACCCTGCCAGCACCCAAAGTGTGGGATTCTCCAAGCCTCTCCTGGGCTAATCCCCGCAACTGTCTGAGGACAGCTGACCTCTCCCACCCCATTTCTGTTCTTGTCCTTAGTTGGAGGAAGGCAGCAGATTGGGGGTGGAAGGCCCCCCTGCACACAACCAAGGCCTAGGTGTCCCCTTCCATCCCTGTCCTGGTTCCAGGTATCATTGTGAACAAGGCCCCTTTGGAGAAGGTCCCGGACCTCATCAGCCAGGTGTTGGCCACCTACCCTGCAGATGGGGAAATGGCGGAAGCCAGCTGCGGAGTCTTCTGGCTGCTGTCCCTACTGGGTGAGCTGGGTGGGCGCCCTGGGCCCCTGGGGCTGGGAGCCGTGGGCCTCTCGCACACAGCAGGTACAAGGCAGCCTGGCCCCTTTCCGCAGGCTGCATCAAGGAGCAGCAGTTTGAACAAGTGGTGGCGCTGCTCCTGCAAAGCATCCGGCTGTGCCAGAACAGAGTCCTGCTGGTGAACAATGCCTACCGGGGACTGGCCAGCCTGGTGGAAGTGTCAGGTGAGCCTGGGGACAGGACGAGGCTGCCACCTACAGGTGGAGACAAGAATCAGCCTCCATCAGTTATATCTACCAGGTGCCACAAACCAAAAAACAGAAGCAACAAATCAAAAAGGAAAATAAATTTAAAACGATGTAAAGTCCAACCATCCAGAAATCACCATCAAGACTTCTATGCACACTTGATGAATTCTACCTCTGCATTATGCTACCCTGTGACCCTCTCTCCGTCCATAAACACGTCACATCTGCACGTTTCCCAACATGCAGGCACACCATGACTGATCAAAACAGCTCTGGAGTCGGCGTCTCCAATTCCCCACAACACAAACCCTGCCTGTTACTCAGCAAGACAGGCTGGGCCCGGTGCTGAGCACAGCACAGCACAACCGAGGCTCAACCCACAGCACAGTCCTTCGGAGAGCACCTGGGGCCCGGCCCAGACCCCAGCTGGTGCCTAGCGACTGGGCTCATGGTCTCGACCTCTGTACTACCCAACCTTCCTCAGAAAGTGACGACGACTCCTTTGGCTCTTGGGGGGCTGCCTCCTCTGTTCTTGTGTGACCCTATTCAGGCCATGCCATCCTGCTGGTCCGCCCAAGCTGATGGGGCCTCCTGGGTCTCTTGTCCTATCCCAGCCCCCTGTGTGTGAGCTCTGGGGTACCATCCCATCCTGGGCAGAAGGCTCTTCCCTTTCAGGGGAACAGCGGGGCATGAACTCACTCTCACCCATCCCCCAGAGCTGGCGGCCTTCAAGGTGGTGGTGCAGGAGGAGGGCGGCAGTGGCCTCAGCCTCGTCAAGGAGACCTACCAGCTCCACAAGGATGACCCAGAGGTGGTGGAGAACGTGGGCATGCTGCTGGTCCACTTGGCTTCCTACGGTGAGAACCCCTTCTCGCATCACACGCCCTAGAGCCCAGTGGTCAGGGGTGCCCGCTGCCCCTGTAACTGACAGGGAAGGAGCGCACAGAAGATGGGCTCAACCCCACTTCTTAGCCCTCTCAAACTTCCCACACATTTGGCATCTCCTAAACACTAGGGGTTGTCCTGGCTGAGGGGGACGCATGGGGCTCCAGAACTGCAAGGTGGCTCTGTGCATGCCAAGCCCAAGGGGGACTGTGACCCACCCTCGTCCTTCTGGGGCTCCTGGCAAGGGGCACAGGAGGGGCTCTGGCCTCAGGACCTCCTTGCTCCACCCGCAGAGGAGATCCTGCCGGAGCTGGTGTCCAGCAGTATGAAGGCCCTGGTCCAGGAGATCAAGGAGCGCTTCACCTCCAGCCTGGTGAGTGACAGCAGCGCCTTCAGCAAACCAGGCCTCCCTCCAGGTGGAAGCCCCCAGCCGGGGTGCACTGCGTCCGGGGGCCTGGAACAGATGATTGCATGGAACTGACCTTGATCTCCACATGTATAGTTTTCAAGACTGCTCTCCCGCCTGCCCATTATCCTGTCTCTATGACTGGGCCACAGTCAGTCTTCAACAGGAGGGGTCATCAGACCTCTCCAGAGCTTCCTGTCCACGACTACTGGATTGAGTCACATGAGTAACTGCTCCTGGACCCGGGGACTGTCCATGAAAACTGACCCGCCTGCTTCCTCCTTCCAGGAGCTGGTTTCTTACGCAGAAAAAGTGCTCCTGAGGCTGGAGGCGGCCACCTCTCCCAGCCCCCCGGGCAGAGAAGCAGCTCAGCCCTGACGCTGGGGAGCAGACAGACACCCCACAGGCCCCTCCTCCACGTGTGCCCTCTCCCTGCCCTTCCTTTCCATGGGTCACTGTTTCCCTTGGGGCGGCAGGGAGGGTCGTCTGGGACCAGAAGGCACACCTCACACTCCTCTTAGGTGACTAATAAAGAGGCCCAAGGCCAGTTTCTGCCTTAATCGTTTCTGACAAGACGCCGTGACTGGCCAGTGGGGTACTTAATTCTGCAGCCTCTATAGACCTTGCCCTGGACACGGAAGTCCTTCCAGACCATTCTAGATGAGAGTCAACACTGAGCCTCCATAGGTTCCATTCAAAGTAAACATCTGCATTTATTTTAAATCACGTCCTCGGTGCGTCTGCACCTTTTCTGTCCAGCTGTCAGATGGCCCAATAACGCCTTGGACTCCATCCCCTAGTCAGTGCCACTGGCTGTTCCTGACTCTAGTTCCCAGAGGAGTCTCAAACCGGGGCCTAGACAAGCAGGCCACTGGCTAGCGTCACATAGCTTCTCTAGCTCAAACAGCCCAAGGTCGGCACATCTGCCGACCTCCAGGAATAACCGCGGTCACCGTGCCCAGGCGACACATCCTCGCACTATGGGGAGAGGCCTCTGCTGGGTGACCCACCAGCCAACCCTGGGCCAATTTAGATAAACGCTCAAAGTCCAAACGGCCAAGGAAGCCCCTGATGTAACACCTGTTGTACCGGCCAGCCGTGTCTCAGGAGCTGACTGCAGACACCGGGTCTGGGCCCCTCAAGCCCAGTGGAGCTTGTTATGTCCCCTAAGACAAAGGAGGAAAATGGGGCCCCCCAAGAGGAAGGTGCTGAGCACTTCACCCCAGGGTGAGTGGTCACTGAAGACGGGCAGTGACAGCACTGCACTAGCTGGCGGCCCACAGGCCCCATCCTCGCCTCGCCCAGGCAGTCAGCAGTTCGTAAAGCATGGCCAGGCATGCTCATAGCAGCCCCTGCTCCCCACCCCAACCATCCGGGTCCAAATACACATGGACAGTAAGACCAGGCCTCAGACCACAAAGTCAAGAGGAAGGGGGACGTTCTCAGTAGCACCACGCCATGCCCCTCTGCTGTGATTCTGGAAAGGTTTCACCAGAGTAGACACTGTGGGGAGATGTGATCTGTCCCTGTGACTGGTCACATTGCCTCTGTAGCGGGGCAGCAGCAGCAGCCGGGCAGGGCTGCTAGGTGTCGTCACTGCAGTGGTCTGGAGCGGTCAGCAGGGGACGCCTGTCTCGGGCCATGCTCTCCCACTCCTTCTTCACCATGACGTACAGCCTCATTGCTGCCTGGGCATCCTGAATCTAGACGACACGAAACATCCCAGCAGGTGACAAGGCATAGCTGCGGCCCACGGTCAACCCCGCAATGACTGAGCCCTCCCACTAGCCACTCTGCTAGGGATGTACTGAGTGAGATGTGGACCCGGCCAAAAAATGTCACCAGGATGGCGAGGGAGGACACAACAGAAGCAGAGGGAGCAACGACCTGATGGTCCCCACACTTCTGTGACTCAGACCCCCCTTTCAGAAGAAAGGGGAACTGAAAGAGGAGAAGCAACAAACACGCTGCCTTTTTAGGTTTCTGAGTGCAGGGTGATGGCAGGCTGGGCGCCGGGCACGGGGCACAAGGACCAAGCAGACGGGCACGAAGGGCCCAAAGCGCTGAGGCCACGCTGCAGGGAGTGACTGCTCCACAGAGGTGGAGCCAGCTGCTCAACGGGCCGGTCAGGGCAGGGCTGGAGGGCTGGGGTTGGGGGGCTTTGTAATTATTTGGCAACTTTTTCTCCAAATAATGAGAATGCAGTTCTTTTGTGTTGTGTTAAATTCGTTAAATGTGCATATTTAGAACTTAACCAAAATTCCGTAACTCTGCTCTGCCAATTTTTTTTTTTTTTGACCAATAGCCTCATAGGAAAAGTAGGTGCCCAGGCCCCTCCTCCCCCATGTCTGTGTCAGGTGACTCATGTCTGGTTCCTGGTGAGAAACCGCCCCAAACCCCATGGACTGCCTCCCAGGACACACTCACCGAACAGTGCTCCGCCTGCTGGACCTGGAGCCCGAGGATCTTCTCTGAAAGTAGTCGCAGAGACGGCCTTCCACTCTGCAAAGGGGGAAGAGGCGGGGGGGCCTCTGCAGGCTCTGCCCACACAGGGTCACCGCACCCAGCAGGGAGGGGTCGGCTACTGAACCTCACCCAAGCGACCTACAGTTTCCCCCTCAGTGGAGGTGCTCATGGCACTTAGGGTGGCAGCCACCAGCTGCAACCTCTTTATAACATGATGGGCTGGTGATGCACCCCATCAGCCAATCAAGGGAGAGGGCCAGGGGAGGAGTCAGCATCCCCATCGCCCATCTTGAGGCCTCCCTGCTTATTTCAAGAGGGACAGCTGTGGTCAGGCACGGTGACTCTCATTTGTAATCTCAGCACTTAGGAGGCCAAGGAGGGCAGATCACTTGAGCCCAGGAGTTTGACAACAGCTAGGGCAACATAGCAAGACCCTATCTCTACAAAAAAATGAAAAAATCAGCCAGCGGTGGTGGCATACGCCTGCAGTCCCAGCTATTTCAGACGCTAAAGTGGAAGGACTGCCTGAGCCTGGGAGGCGGCAGTTACGGTGAGCCGAGATCATGCCACTGCACTCCAGCCTGGGTGACAGAGCAAGACCCTGACTAAAAAAAAAAAAAAAAAAAAAAAGGGGGATGAAGAACAGCTGTGCCCTTGGCACCCTCTAGAGTAGATACGACAGTGGCACCAGGCCCTTAGTCAGTGACCCTGTTTCAGAGGTTAGAGTGGAAGTAATCATTTTTAAGGTCAGCAATTAGCAGAACTCTATTTTTAAACATTCCTTCTAGTTTTAAAGGTTAAAAGGAAAACAAAAACCCTTTAACCAACAAGTCAGCCACCAGTGACCAGAAACAATGAAGTGACCAGCAAAACAGAAATACGGTATCTTGAGTCACACTCATTTTAAGTACCTTTACTTGACTCTTGAAAGGTTTATATTTCTGTGTGTCTCGAATCTTCTTTTTTGGATGATCAAGAAACAGTACCTAGAAAAAGAAAGTATGATGATAATCATTTTCATTTTTGGTTTATAGTAGCAGAACCCCCTCCCCCCGCCACCTTTTACAAGTAACATCTTTGTGTGTGTGTGACCTAGTCTTGCTCTGTCACCCAGGCGGGAATGCAGTGGCTCAATCTTGGCTGACTGCAACCTCCGCCTCCAGGTTTCAAGTGATTCTCCTGCCTCAGCCTCCCGAATAGCTGGGATTACAAGTGCCCGCCACCACACCTGGCTGATTTCTGTATTTTTCAGTACAGACAGGGTTTTGCCATGTTGGCCGGGCTGGTCTCAGAACTCCTGACCTCAGGTGACCCACCTGACTCGGCCTCCCAAAGTGGTGGGACTACAGGTGTGAGCCACCGTGGCTGCCCTGCAAGTAACATCTTGTAGGGAATCCAAGCATGTCACACACACCCAGAAACGAGGCATTGATACAAACTTAAACTCCATGAGGAAATTTATCACAGTGACTTAAGCATCATGATGCCCAACAGTCAGAGACAATAAAAACACAATCTTGAAATCAAGGAAGAAGGAGAAAAACAGTCAACAATTAACCAGCAGCCAACTTTTTCCTATATTATACTTGTATTTTGAGTTGGTTCTGCACATCAGGAAGCTGGAAACAACACATTATAACAGCTCATCTTGCAATCTTAGCATGCAATCTTTTTTTTTTTTTTTTTTTTTTTGAGACAAGAGTCTCGTTCTGTCGCCCAGGCTGGAGTGCAGTGGCCGGATCTCAGCTCACTGCAAGCTCCGCCTCCCGGGTTCACA